ACAACTAACTAATGGGTTTACTTACTATTATGTTAAATTATCTTTTTATGTACAGAATAATGCTAGAAATATAAGCAAATATAATTGATAGAGATTTACATTTTTTGATATCTACTGGAGTTTAAACAGCTGCTTAGTAACAGCTAACAACATATCAACTTCTTTATACCAAACTAGGTCGGTAGGATATTAAGATAATTGCAACAGACATGTGTCTATTAGACTATAGTCGTGCTCACTTTATTTCTCACTCTTTGTATTTCATGTCACAAAAATATTACTTCAAAAATAGAACATAAGATGTTTCCAAATCAAATTATAATTCAGTTGATCTATCTCCAGTCTATAGTTTTGATACAGCTTTGAACTAAGTGTTGTATGAAAGCGATAAGAAATAACCTAATACAGAAAAAGGTCTTTAACCCACTTTATGAAATACATCCAATTAAATATGTTAAGTATGAGTCAGATCCTTGGGGTTACTGAATGTATTGTAACATGACAACTCATTTCTTCTGTAATGACATATAGAAACTATTAAACCGCCCCAGAAGAGCAACCACCCCTGTGGTTGTTAATACTTATTAAAAGGATGTACTTAAAGTCTTGATGTAATTTTTGCATAACCTTTAACATAATTCCCTTTTTTCAACAGTTCCCTAAATTAACTGTTGAAAGTCTAACTGTATTGTTGGTAAATTGTCTGAAAACGATATTAAGTGGTATATGTTCGAATATATTGGAAGAAATGAGTTTCGTTATCGCAAGCTTGATAGAATATCGCAGGTACCCACCAACAGTGAAGAAACTCAACAGATTTCTAATACAAATTTCCATTGAGTTTTAAATACACTTTGGGGATGATAAGAATTTTTGTGAATGGACATCAGTTAAATAATAATAAAAAATATGTATCTAAAAATTGTTTGGTATTATCAGACATTTCCAAGGGCAACCAAAATATTTTTCAAATAGGAAAAGTTATTCTATTATCACTGGGTTTTGCGAATCAAGTTGATACACTTAATAAACATAAGAACATTGGTCGACTCATCTTAAGTAGAATGAGCTTGAAATTAGTCATTTAAATCTTCTGAAAAACTATTAGCTAATTACTGGGGTTTTATTTTTAGTTTACTGATGATAATTTATAATTTTGAATAATTAATGATTTTATTTATTATGTTAATACTAGCTTCATAGTTACACGTACCAACGGTCACTTCAAACCTATTAGGTTGCCTTGAATCTAGTCTAGTTGGTCAGTTTTTAGCAAGATGTATCGGTAATCTTGAGAAAATTGTTACCTTACCAAAAATAATTTAAACCTATGTCACCTATATTCATAGTTAGAGATGTTAGAACTGAGTTATTCGCGTTGCGACTGATCTTTTAACCATCTAACACCCAAGCATTCCAAGAAACGATGAGTCACTTAGAGTAAATACCACATTAGACTTGATCAATAAAATTCAGTCAGCACAAACACAGTATTGGTTATCATTCAAAGATCAACTAATGTACCCTTTAATTTGTTTACTCAAAACACTATATTCAATGTAACTAAGAAATTGATAGATAGTTAATTAGCTGTTTTCAACTTTCGATAATCAATCACTTTGAAGTTTGGTATTTACTGTAGTGATTAATTTTACTGATAATTCCAAGGAAATTCTAATACTCAATACGGACATTTAATTCACAAAATGAATTGTAATCAACCATTTCTTTCAAGTTCAAATAACTACAAAAGAAATTTTTAAAAATGTAAACATTTCAAATGTTTAATTAGTTTTAGGAGATTTATTTTAAATGTGATTTCTAGACAATTTGTTGCCTAGATCATATTTATTCGATGTTAACTTATGGGTAACTTATGTATCAATTGATGCAAGCATGTATGTGTATGTGCATTATTTATGTCTCAAAAAGTTCATTAGATATTATCTGGGCATCTGGTTTCAACCTTGACTAACTATGACACTAACCGATGGTAAGTGAATTAATGATAAATGTAAATCTTTGTAAAAGATACACATCACAATGACTATGACCTATCTTATTCTTTTTGTTAACTTCCATAAATTATGTTTGCATGCATAACAGAGTAAAAAAAAGTTACTGAAAGATATTATGTTTTAAATGGAACAAGTTATAAATGATTCGCTATCTTTAACCGATGAACTGTTAGTTAATGTCTACTAGTTTGATTCCTAGTTATTTCTATTTTTCATAACTGAAAATGAAGCATAGTAGTATACGGTTTACAAATTAAATATAATGGAGTTGAGATCAATAATTGCATTAAAAAAACTCTGATTTCAGCTGATAAGTATGTTACAAGTCCTCAATTGTGCTTTGGTTTCATGTAAGGTGTTGATAGAAACAGAATATTGCAATAGAAGGCCTTCGTTTGACACGCCAGGCCATGGTGTCAGTTCATGAAATTATGCCTTTTTTATATGATATTAAAAAACTGTCTCTCTCGTTAATTCAACAGAACGAACTTTTTTAAAGTACTTAAATGACATAATTCGAAAGAACTCAGACTAAAATTAACACATACACTTTATGCTATTCCCCAGTACCGACCATTTGTTTTAGTGTCACGCATTCAAGACAATCTGTAAGAATCGTTAAGCATATATAATAATGGCTTTTTTATGGCTGAACAATCAGTTAAATTTTCAACGTCGAGAAAACTAGTGTTGTTTGCTCAATAAACTCCAACTCATGCTACTCGGTTTGTAGTCTGGTCCCCACTTTGTTCAGAGGTGAATATCCATAATTGGTCAGAAGATGTAAGTCATGAAAGTGTGGTTATACTTCATAACATTTGTTATTCTTAAGTGATTGATTAGCGTACGTCAAGATTTATTTGTCTTTGATTATCTATTTTGTAATCTTTTTTATTCTGTTTATATTATCGGAATCCTTTTGTTGATATATTAATGTTGAGTATTTTTTTAAAACTTGGTAACAACCCGGTACACTATTTTAGTTTAATTATGCTAAAAGACCGGCTACGAGTAAAATTAACTTCATTGTCTTCTTCAGTACCCTCACAAAATATTCATGGAAGTATTTAGTAAACCGGTGCATACACACACATGTTCACTAAAAATAGTAGTTCCCTGCTTTTTGGAACTTTAAAACAAAAAGAACATAGGGGAAATAAATAGGGCTAAAGTAATTATTTAATGAGCTACCCTTATTATGAATTTATAATTTGTCATATTTAGTAAAGCATTAAAATACGTAAATATAAATCTAACGACTATAATATGGGTAGGAAAAAACATAATGAAATAAGTAATTTATTCATTCTGCCACCCATATCCTTCAGTCTTGTGTGAATGTGTGTGCGTATATTTCTAGCAGTTCGTTTTCTTCTTAATCTAAGGTTAAAAAATATTCTACTCATTTATTTAAATAAACCGATCTCCTACTGTGTATGAAGTATGAACAAAGCGTATTAGAGCAGACAATCGCTTTTAATAACTTCTTCATCTGGATCCATATTTATAAATCCTAAATTATCAGTGTCTATAAGATATGATTTTGTTGTTTGATCTACTTCGATGAGAAACAACTACAAAATCAATGATCTCGTTCACTTATTATTATTATCTTTATTGCTGTCCACATACTTTGTAACCCTTTGCTAAAAATGAAAGTAATTTCTCCATCCTTCTACATTTTGTTGTCTCTTTCATCACATTTCTAATCATACTGTTGCAGCTTTTGTTGTGTCACAGTGGATTTTTTCCCACAATTCTGATAATTATCATTGATCAACAGTGTTGTGATTCGTTCAAAGGATGGGACATAAATATTCCTATCACTCTCATTATAACGTTTAATATTTGATATCATATATTTTAATTCCCTCTCTTCTCATTTTCTGAATTTCCTCAGTTTCTCCTCTGGAAATGGATGTAGAGAGATTTACACACACAAACAGGGAACAGCAAATGTCTACTAGTACATTATGAAAACTTCTTTAATAACATAAAACTAATGAGGATGATAATCAATTGAGAAATTAAAATTACTTAAGGCCATTAGAATTTTGTTCTTTTAAGAAAAACAAAACATTGGATATTATTTTTTGTATATCTCAGGTTAACGAGGAAAAAGTGAGATGGAAAGAGCTCAAAGCTTACAAACACTACTATAAATACATACATATCATTACTATTTTTATTTGCAGTTTTATACAACAAACAAATGCCTTAGGCTGAATACAACACATAGGACTCTATTCTACAGTGTATATTTATATATGATTGTGTTGATTAGTATCTTGTATGTACATAAGTGAGTGCATTGTAGTAAGCCTAAACACCTTTCATTGGACTAGTTCAAACACGTGCGTATGTGTGTTCCATAAATAATAATAAAATTCTTACTGTCATACACCCTCCTCCCCCCTCCCAATTTTCACAATCACTCAATTGGATTTATAAATGAAAATATAAACAATACGACAAAAATAATACGTGCACACATAGACAGTATAGAAAATTTGTAAAGAGTGTACCGTGTGAACAAAACCGTGGGAACTAAATGGTTTGGACAGCTGCTAAATAAACCTATAGTTTTTCTTGTTTTCGGTTAAAATTCTCACGCTCTTCCACAATGTCATCATGTCTTTCGTAGATGAGAGAGTGGATTTCTTTCTATCCATATACACTAAATACAATAAGAATAATAATTATTACACTACTATTAATAATAACATTAACCAACACGGGTTGTAGTTTGTTGTTGTTGTTGTAGTAATAGCTAAGCATGATTGTTAAAAATCATCCAATATAAATCTGCCTTTGAATAGTAGTCTTATCATTCACTCATATTATGCATGTGTTAAGGTCATCAATAAGAGTTGGCACATATACACTGATATAAATATTATGGATCCTTTTTTTTCAATCTTTCTAACCAATTTATAATTAAGGATTGTACATATTTTGTTTTGCCCATGTACAACTTCTTCGATGTTAGTATTATCCCCGATGAATTCTCATCTTAATTTAAACGCTGTTGTTACTGACGGCGATAATAGCAGTCTTGATGAAGACAATGAAGACGAAGAGGCAGAGGAAGAAGTCAATAAATATCATTTTCGTAAACTTAATACTGACAATATAAACAATGATTATGTGTACAATATGAATTGTGAGCCTTCTGTTCCACATCATACTCGTCAGAGGCATCACCAAATCTTAACCAAACGACCAAGATTATCGACAATAACTTCTGAACAAGAAAGTTTTCATAATCAAATAAACACTACAAATAATAATAATACAAATCAACATCACATGAATTGTTCTCAACTACATCAAAGGGATTTAATAATCACATCAACTAGTATGTCACTTGGATATACCACCAATGCTGTTATTACTAATAGTAATGAAAATAATAATGGAGATGATCCTTATACAACATTTCGTTCATTGTTATTACAATCTGACTATAACACTAATGATAATAGTTCACCAGAGAAAGAAAATCGAACGTCAATTTTGACATTGAAAAGTAGATTGAATCATTATGTCAGTGATGATGATGATGATGTTGATGATGATGTTCCTGATAATGAACATGTTGAGAATATGTCTACATCTGAATCGAATTTGATTCTTCATGAGGCTCATAATATCGATCGTTTCCCATCATTATTAAAACATAATTCTCATATAGATTATCATCAAGTTTTAAATGATGAAAGTGTTAGTACTAGAAATGATGAACTACATGAATATAAAGGTTAGTAGTAGTACAAAAAGTAGAGCATGTATTCAAAAGATATTTCTAAAAATCCGTTTAAGTATATAGTTTTTTATTTAACTAAGTAATGGTTATTGTCAGTGTATGTTAACATTTACCATGAGTACTAAGTTATTTTTTTAGTCACGAATAATTAAAAGCTAATGTACTTGTAAAGATTTAATTTAATATTTATACGAATTATGTCCAGTCATTATAATTTCTGTAGAGATTTATTTTAGAGTTCAAAATTGCTTATCTTGGTCACAGTCTTAATTACCCGTCTTTTATTTACACTTTTCTATCTGTAAAATAAAAAGAGGAATTCTGGATTTTAAAAAAAGATAGTATCTGATATTTGTAATTATATACTATGAAGTGATTCATATTTAATACAAGGGTACCCATTCTAGATTTTTTAAAATTTACTGAAGTAACTTTGTCAAGGTTCAGGTTCCACCTATTTAAGAAGTGATCAAACCAAGACATGATATGAAGTCATTGACTGTTGATTTAAGCCATATTATTATGTGAAATCAACTAATTTGGGTCGATATAATAATCTTACACAGCGGTTAGAGACACTAAGAGACATGGCTCAGAACCAATACCATTAGTCCAGACGCATGAAGTCTTTATCTTTATTTAGATTCACAGTTCTAGTACTATCTCATTCACATCCTTTCTTTCTGAGTTTTCGAACCACATTCTTAATGTACAATTGTTCACTTTATCATTTTTACTATAATTCTTTCCACTCCTTTATCGTTCATTTTGATAGTTTCATCTCACCATGCTAATACGATATGATAACTTGGTCTAGCACATTTCTGTGTCAAGCTCCAAGTTGATTATAACCAGTTAATTGAATGATCGGCTCATTTAAGAATACATTAAAAAAATGTGATGTGTTATGATTTTCTGATAAAAAAGGGAACTGATGTCGCTTTTTTTCCTTTCACTGTATACTATGCTTACTTTTGCACTGATTTCACAACTAATTGCTTTCTTTAGCATATATTGAACAGGCACTTGGTAATTAAATTAAATTAACAATGAATCGTGACATGACTGAAAACTTGGTTTCAATAGTTCAAATTTTTTAAATTTATCTGTTTGAACCGAAGTAAATCTGGTTTCATATTTCTTATGATTGAGTAGTTAACTAATAATATATAACATTGTATAAGTCACATAGGTTTAGCACTGAGTGGATGTGTCGCTCAATTTCGTGGATTATTTGAAGTTGGACATTAACACCGCTGGATGCCGGCTCAGTGGTCTAGACTTTAAGCGTTTGCGCGCGAGACTGATAGGTCCTGTGTCCAAATTTCGCGAGGCGGGATCGTGGATGCACACTGCTGAGGAGTCCCACAATAGGACGAAGTGGTAGTCCAGTGCTTCAAGGTTTTCCATGGTGGTCTAGCTTCAATTGACTCATGATCTCAACCATTAAAATTACTATAATACCTACAAAAACCCCTTCTAATATTTAAATTTATTTCTTATTGCGATAGGTTTATTTAATGAACACATAGTGTAGGGGAGAGCTAATAAAAATCAAGAGCATAACATTTGGTTTCTTGTACAAAAATTAAAAATCACATCTAGCAAGCAGTAAAAGTATTGTTCTGGTTCTCAGTATGTTTAAAATGATAATAAGAAATTATTTTTTGCATTATGAAATATAAATGATAGTGTTAGACGCATCAAACGCCTAATTATTTTTCCGTAGATTGTACAAAACAGGCAAATCGACACTCACCTTAATCTGGTGATACTATATTTTATGAACTAAATAGATAGCGCTTCTTGGATTTTGATGCAAAATCGAATCATTCATTTGGCTATAGAGCACTTTCGTATCATAGCTGATGTCAGTTCATAACGAAAACTTTGATCCTAGACCACTAACCCTAAACGTAATCAGGAACAATATGTAAACTTTAAAATCTATCTGCATCCTGATCAGGGTTCGAGGATTATATATATATGGAGAGAGAGAGAGGTGAAGTTATATTGTCATGCGCATTACTTATGCGGCAGACATAAGTAGTATGTAGCATAAATTGGAAGTAGAACACTTACCAGCAGAGTGAAATAAATAGAAGAGGAAACAAAAAGAAGAGCAATCAGAGTAATTATGTGAAGGATAACTGAAGGGAGATATGCAAATGTTGTATTTAATGTATGGTTTTCATATTTTGTAAATCTATTGTTTGATTTTGCATGAAATGGCGAATTGGTTTCCTTTACTTGAGTTATCGTTCATTGTAATATTTCGTGGTTTTCTCGCTTTGTAGACAAAGAAACCTTTAGAAGATTTCGATAGAATCGCTAATTATGTAGAACCTATTCACACTTTTGTAAACACATTGTTTGCGTATTCAGAAATTGTACATTTACAAAAATTATTTTCTCACTAGCCAAGAGCTGGCTAAACATTTATCACAATTGTTATAAACCCATTCCTCTAACCGTTTATTTCTATTAACACTATCGACAATTAGAACAGATCAGCCTATTCTTTTCGTAAAATATGATAAACTTATCGAGTGTTACTGGCAAATAAAGTCTCTGAAGTATTTACTAAAAGTATTTATCAATTTCAAATTCCATAACATATGTACAAAATAACTTTCCTTTATGATACTTGTGAAATAATTATACAGACATTTTTCTATTAGAATAAATAATTGTAATTATGTTAAATACTTTCTCAAAACAAACGTAAAACTGAGTGTAGGAGAGAAACCTTAAGTGCAAGTCATTATATGTGAAAATTATATTTGAAATAATCTCGGCGGTTGAACTTTAAATAATTTTCACATATAATGACTTCTCTATACTCGGCGCCAAATTTCTGTCAAACTATTTGTTCTAATCTTGACGAATATTCGTATAACTTAAGTGCAAGTATTCACGTATAATCCATTGAATCAGTGTAAAAGACCTCAAATGACTGATATGATTCATGTAGTTTTTACACGAAATCTTACCCCTAGTCAAATTAGGAAGTGGTAAGAATTACATTCAACTCTTGATCATCTTATGAGTTTTAACCTGATGAATACTGCGATAACTAACTGTAACTAAAGATGGAATAGTTTCATTCTAATTCATAATTGAAATTTCTAAAATATACATTGAGTATCTAATATGGCTTTTAATGTTATCCGCTTTAAGTTATCAGTGTTAAATGCAGTTTATAGCTAACGTTGATTCAACTATTATAATAACCATAGATCAAAATCGACTGACAGATTTCTTATCAGTACTGATAACTTACCATACTTTTTGGTTAACATTTAATCCCCTTAATTGAAGTGTCAAAATTTGATCGGTTTCTGGCACTATGTGACTTCTAATTACGGGTCACACAAGTGAAAGAGAAAGATACATTCGCAATATTGTTTACAATAACATTGAGTAAAAGGACAATTATAAATGAAATCCTTTATAACGTATTATTTTAATATTTTTTAGTATTCAGGACTTAATCAATGTAAAATTTTTAATTTATAACATGGATTAATTCAAGTTTTATATATTGTATAATTAATAGTAATTTTGATTTAATAGCTGTAAAGCATTATGAAGAAGCTATCGAAAATTATTATTCTCCTTGATATTTATTGTTTCTGACTATTCTATGGGGATTTTAAAACTGTTAAAATGTAGTACGGTTTCAATTCCCCTGAAGCCATTCAATGACTGACTGAGGTATATTGCCTTTTTATTTTGCTTTTAGGTTCCACAAATCAAAATCGGTAAAGTTATTTGTAAAGTGTGAACTAATAAGATTAGAGAAACTGTTATTCATTTTACTTACTAAAGCGGATTATCCCTTTTACAGCATAGTCTACAAACCAGGGTTTCTGGTTAGCTCTTTTTCGGCAAGGTTTTTTTCTTTACCATCTAGAATTGATTACCCCATTTTCAACCATCCATTTTTAGCCTGCTTAGGATCGGCAGTAACCTTAGAGGGTCCCCAGGACGAGTTTTAGTCCTTATTAAATGCAGTGAAAGTTTACTGGAGAATAATAGGGATTAAAACCAAGTTCTTTCATTAGTATGTATATATGTGGAGATATTATTATTATTAAGCTTCCTTGTTTATCTGTTATTCCTTCTCATCTTTATCAAGTTAGTGTTTTTGTTTGATATTTATTGTTCTTTTGTTTTAAGCTCGTAAACCTGATATCTGGAAATATATTACTGAATATTATTCCAATAAATGACATTTTAATTAAGTAACGAAAATGAAATATTTATCAATTTTTAACATATTGTACACTTAATAACAAAGGTCATGATGATATTTTGTATATTTATATAACAAAACAAAACAATACTTTGAATAAGACATTCACTACTATTCAATTATCAATAAATTTTAGTGCGTTAACAGTAGAAAGTTCATTTATTGATTTTTGTTGTTGTTCAACATGTAATAAATTCTTAGTGATTAAAAAAAGTTTTATTAAGTGAATTCTTCTTTGGTTTATTCAGTTATTACGCTCTGATTGAACTGAATTGAATTCAACATGGAATACATTTATTGTTTTCTAGGAATTAAAACTTCCAGTTTACAGTAAATATACCGAAGCAACAATTGTCGATCAAAATTGGTTCTAATTTTCTTTTCATGCTAAAATTCAATTCAAAGAGAATATATGATATATTTATCTCAAAATAAATAACTATTTAGAGAAGTTAAAAATAGGGAATTACCGTAAACACATCTTGTGTCCATGTATAATCTCAAATGTGTAAGAGTATAAATTACATCAAGATTGAAAATACTCATTATGATGAATAATTTCTTAAAGATTATCTCCAAATATGAAATACTGAAATGAAAAATTATTAACATAAGATAGTAAATGATCAGGCCTTACTGAAAGAGGCTTATCATACATATTAGGCTGTCAAATAACCGTATATTATAAATTCAAGCTTGTTAGACATAGAATAAGAATATCAATTAATTTTCATTGATAGTTAGTTATAGGCGTTTAATGGTTAATCATCACCTTTACAAAGTTGGAGAGTCTAAGTTTCATCATAATGAAGATTATTGGTTATTTATCATGAAGAAGTATTTGAACATGACCATAAAAATTGTTTCTTCTAATTTGTATCGTGTTTAATTAAAGTTACATTTCATAATGAAAATGTCTCCAATTTGTAAGTGACCATTCTGTTCCTCACCTAATATTGCACTGTCGATTAACTTACCTTGATCTAAGGGGGAAAAAAAATCAGTATTTTAATATTAAACAACAAAACTGAATGATGTACAATGTACTATCAACAGTTTACCAATGTTATAAAGATTTGTAAAATATAGTGTTAGTGACAAAACATATGCTAAGCAAGTATAGATGATTTTTCAAAAACAAAACTCATTTAATACTGTAAATTCAATAGTATTTGAGACTATTGTACAGGCTCTGTAAATAAATATTTGTACCATATGTTTGTATTACTACCATTACTTAAGGTTCCCAAACATAAACCACTAAATTCCTCTTTTTCCTATATATATATATGACAGACTGAATCGCCATTCTGTATTACACATAAGTAAACCTCAGCCTATTAGTTCCCACGTTTTGTGTGAAAATATATATTTCAGTCCGACAGGATGTTTTTTTTTCGACTAAAGGTGTATTTATGCACATACATGATTATAACTGGCATGCACATCAATAATGTGCTTGAATAACAGAGATACACCTTTTATACCATTCACATATATCCATATGTATATGTGTACGCGAACATGAATAGATACTATTAAAATTAATGAACATGAATGTAGAGAGAATGTAGTTGTGATACAAATAGTGCTGTAAAATTAGTAGACAACAGAAAGATATTTTAGTGAAAGTACTAAGATATCGTTATAGTAGGATTATATTTTTTTAAGATTCATTCATGATAACAAGTACACTAACGATAAGTACGATTATATGATTGAATTGGTGATTAACTATAAAAGATATCTGGTCTAATATGATGGATAACACTATGTAAACATTAACTATCCATGAATTTCACTGTGTATTCGAACGAATGGTAAAACATATCGATTTATTTCAAACATATTAATCTATATTCTGCAGTAAGTGATCATCCACTATATGGCTGGTGGTCTTAAAGAGTGCACCTTGTGGAAATTTTCATTTGTAATGTGATCAAATTCAAGTAAGTAATAATTCATAAACTTTATGGCTTCTTTAAAGACTATTCTATGATACCTTCACAAGAGTAACCAATTTATGTTTTGCTTTTTGTAAAATTTTAAAACTTAGTTATGAATCTAAGTAGATTAGACTAGTTCGTACTTTAGATTATTTGGCTACTCTCTGTTGAAAGTGAACATTATAAATTGTAGATCGAACTATGCGATTAAGTGGGTTAATCTACACATTCTGTCAATTCCCGATACGCATACCATATCCAACATTTCCGGACATTTTTCCTATTATTTAGTAGATGTGTGCTGAATATGAATGCAAATGAATGGAAAAATACCTGAAAATGCTGCATACAGCAAACTTGTTGAAGAACGAAAGACGGATAGAAAAATTTACTTTGTTATTAATCAATGACAGCTTCAATCTAACTTCCTTTAGTGTTTGAAATCCAAAATACACCATAAAAATAATTTATACTGATAAAAATTTCTCGATTGCATCACATAAGCATACTATGTAGTTTACATTTGTCACAGTTTATGGTGCTTCATTAAATGGATATGATCATATTTATCTCTACTTTTCTTGTTAATTTGAAGTACTATTTATTTTTCTAAATGACAACTACATGACTAAATATCATTTCATTATAGTAAACATTTCTTTCTATAATTAGACAGGAGAATCACCTATTTTAGGTGAGTGCTTTGTGGTTAAAAGGAAGAAGAAAAAAGAGTTCCACATCACAGACAGGCATCAGCTGACGAACTGGGAAATCGCTGGATATCTTTGATATTTCCTTATATAATCTTAATTACGTCAGGTCTTACCCATTATTCAACTTACCAACGTTCGTTTCATAGGATTCGTTCGGAGGCTGATTAAAAACTATATACTTGACAATGTCTTGGATTTAGCAGTAGTTATGAATTTAAATTTAGGAAAGAGAGGGACCAAGTAAAACCCACTTATGCTGGAAAAGATGTAGAATAATAATTTTAATTCAATTGAGAAGCATTTAATTGGTTTGAAATAATCTTGACTAATAAGCAAAACTCATAGACTATTTCAACTGAGTTTATTATAAAAAAGATTGCAGATACATTCTAGGATAATCTACAATGTCTTGGTGGCTTGTAAAAATTTGATGATGATCGAAAAATAACTTGCTGGTAAGACACTTAAGTATATTTGAGTAAACCAAAATCTGGATACAATTGTCCTAATGCCATTTGGTCTCTAGGTCAAAATTAAAAATGCTAAAATGACGCATCCGTTATCGCTGGGTAAAATTACTTTAACAAAGTCTCAGCTGTGGTTGGCTATTCCGTTGACCTTGTAATTAAGAGTCACATCTTATTGATTAATGCGTTGGTGGAGGCTTATGCCTAACATTTGATACAAAATACACAACCATTGAGTGTGCGAATCAAATTTTGCCTAGAAAATTATTCTGCTATTGAAACTATATATTAACTTGGACTGTCATCTATGTGAATGGCTTCTAAAAATGAAGTACATTAAAGGCACACCAGTTCATACCGAGGTGTGGTATTACTTACTTTCCACAGGTAAGTTTACACTATAATGTGATTAGAAATACTCTATTGGTAGACCTGAATTTGTAATGGTACCTCAGATTGTGACTGATAAATTTTTATTTCAATCCATGTTTAGAAAGAGTAAGTACTCTCAAATCATCATTAAGGAACAAGTTGACTGTTGCTTAAGTTTTGTCTCAACGGATTGTCATAGCTTTCTCAAAACATATCTTTATTTCCATAAAGAAAGTTATGGACTGCATATTAATTTCGAGTTTATCTTCGCTATCAATGATTGATACAGTCAGTTTTAGTCTCCTTTAGTCAGACTAAGCAACTGTTCCTTCTGTCACCTAAAAACTTACAAATGAGGACCTTTCAATAGATTTAAAAGTTTTGGTGGTGTCAACGAACATCATGTATATATTAGAAATAAGTTTGCCCCTCAGATTTTCAGTACATGGAACGGAGGAAGGTGAATTCACTGTCCCGGCAACATTGTGTATTATTTATAACATCCATAAACCCTGCATTTATTTAGATCTATAGAATGAAACTAAAAAATGTCAGGTTAGACAACTTTTTGCTAATCACTTCAACTGTTTTAAAACGAGAATGTTTTAATTCAAGTCCGCGTGGATTTTTATTATGATCAAATATTTTAGTAATATATAGGATATCTGAAGTCGACCAAAAGCAATGTTATGACAAGGCAATAGTACTACAGATAATTATATGCTTATATGAGAAAGATGGTCAAGTTCTAAATAAGTTAGGTTTGTTAAAATGTAAAATATCCAACTTCATAAGTTAAGATCAAGATTGATTATATGTTAAGTAGAAGTAATACCGTTATCCAAGAAAACTTGTATTCTAAAAATTGTTACTTTCAATTAGTTTACATTGATTTTTATTAATTTTGATGTTTAAAGTAAATAATCAGTTGGAAAAATATCGTTGACAAGAAAGTCAATATTGTTATGACTGCATCAAAGTTGTAGGATAACAAAGACATACAGAGAGAACGCTTCTGTTTAGTGACTGGATAAGTTTCAGAAATTGAGTATGGATAACTAACCTCATAGTTTCGGATGTCCAACTTATGTGAGCTATCACACATACACAATACAACTCCCTTTGACTTCTTGATTAAATAGATATTCAATATTAAATTTTTTAAAATTTGATTTTAAGCTATCTTACAGTAGAGAAGCTTGCCTTCATCTGAATTGGTGGGCTCTTTTTTTACTGTATTTATATATGGTTGTTCATGTATCATTTATTCATACTTCATTTTCTTACATCAATGGATTCATTCGTTGGTAAAAAAATTACACGAGAATTTAAATAAGCAAATCGAAATCATCTAAGGGAAAATTTTCAAAGCTAATATCAACGAGATCGAAGTTGTAGTGTTGAGAACTTGGCAACATTTTACATAAGGAAGATAAAAATTAACTAAATGTTACCTTCTCTGGAATTGTTCATTGTGACTATAAACCAGTAAAAACGTTTGTGAAATAATTGGGAAAACATACGCTTATCACATAAGTTTGTGCAGTGATATATGAAGTTTACGCTATATTTAACTATTTTTTTCCAATATTTCACGTATCTTTGATTTAGCTTAAATTTATTGTAATGTACGAATATGACACCGCTATAAGGTTTAACAGGAGTTCCTCAGTTTAATTGTTTAATCTTTCACTTCTAACTATTTATCACAGTGTATAACTTCAAGTTTCCAAGCCCCTATTTAATAATAAGATTATTTATCAACAAGATTAACTTAATTTTATTAGACTGTAAGCAGTTATTGGTATCGATTGTCTTGCAGTGACGTAAGATTAAATAGACTTGAGTAGTTATCGTGTCAGTGCCAATATATGTAAATCATATACTAAGAGAATTCTGATCTTGTTGTCATACCGGGTGCACAAATGAAATTCGAAAATCCAATAATATTCAATTTGTTTCCAGTCCATCCAATTCTGTTAACGTTTTGCACAATATTAGATTTATGAAATCTGTTTGTTATGTAAAAATGGATCATTGATTTACGAACAATCATTATATATTCCGACTATATTGTTCTTAATTTGAAGTTTGTTGATATGTGAATTCGAGATTTACGCAAAGAAGAACCAATATAAATCTAGTTTCTACCTTTAAAAAAAAACTAGTCAGCATATCAATCATGTGTATTCATCGGAATATTTTCTATCTGAATCAATAAGGTTGTGTCGTTGACCTGTGTTTTTCTAACTGGTCAACTGATGGATGTCTGATTTGTTTGGTTTTTAATCACTTTATTTGCTAGGAATCACTTCTTTACGATTACACCATTAAAATTACTTAATTTACTTTACTTATGCCTGTTACTCCTAATGGACCATAGGCCGCCGACCAGCATTCTCCAATCCACTCTGTCCTGTGCCTTCTTTTCTAGTTCCATCCAATTCTTGTTTATTTTTCTCATGTCTATCTCCATTTCCCGGCGTAATGTGTTCTTTGGTCTTCCTCTTCTCCTTTGGAGTTGAGGATTCCATGTGAGGGCTTGCCTTGTGACACAGTTGGGTGCTTTCCTCTATGTGTGTCCTATTCACTTCCAGTGCTTATTCCTGATTACTTTCTTCTTTGGGATCTGGTTTGTTCTCTCCCATAGTAGGTTGTTGCTGATAGTGTCTGGTCAAGGGATCCGAAGTATTTTGCATAGACAACTCTTAATAAACACCTATATCTTCTGGATGATGGCTTTCGTAGTTCTCCAGGTTTCCACCCCATACAGTATAACTGTCTTGACATTTGTATTGAAAATCCTGATCTTGGTGTTGGTTGACAGTTGCTTTGAGTTCCAGATGTTCTTCAGTTGTAAATATGCTGCTCTTGCTTTTCCGATCCGCGCCTTCACATCTACATCAGATCCACCGTGTTCATCAATGATACTGCCCGATTATGTAAATGTTTTAACATCTTCCAAATCTTCTCCTTCATTTGTGATTGGATTGGTGCATGCTGTATTGTATCGGAGAACCTTACTTTTCCCTTAGTGTATATCGAAACCTACTGCTACTGAGGCTGCTGCTACACTGGTCGTCTTCTCCTGCAGTTGTTGTTACGTGTGCGATAGAAAAGCCAGATCATCTGCAAAGTCTAGATCGTCCAGCTGCATCCTAGCCGTCCACTGTATCCCATGCTTTCCATCGGATATTGACGTCTTCATGATCCGGTCGATCACCAGGAGAAAGAGAAAGAGAAAGGATGAGAGTAAGCAACCTTGCTTTACAACGGTCTTTACCTCGAACGAGTCTGTCAACTGTCCTCCATTCACGATGTTGCAGTTTAATCCATCATAGGAATTCCGTATTATATTGACTATCTTCTCAGGTAATCCGTAGTGTCAAAGAAGCTTCCATAGTGTTGTTCTGTCCACGCTATGAAAAATGCCTTTACGCAGTCAATGAAG